GTGAGAGAATATGAGGATAGGAATATAATACGGAAGGCCTCAAACACGGCACAGAATGAAGGGAAGGGAACGACGCCCCACTTCTAAAAAGGAGAGAGACTTGGGAGTTGACGCAAACGCCCAAATCAGAGGCGCCAAATCAACAGATTAACATCAGCAGGGGTTTGTCACACTGGTAAATGTCCAATTAATCTTCACGGGGGGCCAGATTCACGAAAGTACTTACGCAAACACTTACGAACCTGTACATCTTTTCTCAATCTTTGACGACTTTGTTTCCAATTATTAAACAGTTAATGAGCTCCGAAGCACCAGGAGGATGTTTAGAACAATAACAACAGTTGAATGGGAAGTTTTCATGCTTGTAAACTGTTTAATAAATGTAACAAAAGCCGTCAAAGATTGAGGAAAGATGTACACGTTCCTAAGTGCTTGCGTAAGTGCTTTCGTGAATCTGGCCCCAGGTACGTGGATCAAGTACCCTTTCAAATGCTACATAGGTACATATTTAATTATGTTGGCCCAGGCGCGACACCTTACAGAAGCACACGAGTAGAAAAGGTTGAAAGATGTACCACGAGACTCGTGTGTGAGGTAAGGGCACTGAGGTCCCCTCCCTGACTTGAAAACAAATTAGTCCTCTGCTTGATGGGGTTCTGGGAGTAGTTCTACTCCAAGCCCGGCCCGAGGCCAGGCTTGTCTTGTGAGAGTTTGGTTCACCAGGCTGTTGCTTGGAGCGGCCCGCAGGCCCATATACCACCACAGCCCGGCTGATCCAGCACTACAAATTATTTGTTTTCTCTTGATATCCACGGTTGTTCCGACAATATTTCTTATAGTCGCTGGGAGGGTGTTGAACAGCCGCGGACCTCTGATGTTCATACAGTGTTCTCTGATTGTGTCTATGGCACCTCTGCTCTTCACTGGTTCTATTCTGCATTTTCTTCCATATCGTTCACTCCAGTATGTTGTTTTTTTTCTGTGGTAAAATACCATCAATGGCACATCATATGTCAGTTTATATTATGTTAAACATAAACACAGTGTTCAATAACAGTGTTACCAAGTGCAACCAGAGGGAATATATATATATATATATATATTATATATATATATATATTAGTACTCCTCAGGCTACTCTCTACTCCCTCTTACTCTCTCCTCCTGCTCCTTCCTACCCCTCAGTATCCCCCCGTCTCCTCCTCGCCTTTCCTTATCCCACCTCCTCCCTTTCCGTGCGCCCCTCGTTTCCTGTTGCCCCACAGACGAGTTCCCCCCCTCCCTGTCCACGTTTTCTAAATCTTTCCTTTCCTCCATTCCTCCATCCCTTATTCCTACCTTCCTTCCTCTATTTTACTTCTCACCACCAACTATAGTCTAGGATACAGTAATATTTTAGTGTACAACTATTCAGTAGTGTTCCAATATTAGAGGTACTTTATAGTGGTACTTTATAGTGGTACTTTACAGTGGTGTTACAAATATAGTGGTGCTGGTGTTACAGTGTCAAGATGTTACTTTAAGTTCTAGATTTTCTTGTTGTTTCGCACCTGTTAAATGAGCGTAGATTTGTTTATTAATAGTGTTATGTTTTTTGTTAGTGTTGTGTTTAGTCATGTCAAAGATCCTCACAGACACTGATTATGTATCTGTGTGTTGCATAGTACAGAGAATACCACTATACTACCACCACAACACCACACCCCACCACAACACCACACCCCACCACCATCACCATCACCATCACCATCACCACCACACCACCACCACCACAACACATCCACCATACCACCACCAGCAAACCTTGCCACCACACCATCACACCACCACCTCACCATCACCACCATCACCACACCACCATCACCACACACCTCACCACCACCACCACCACACCACCCCACCACACCACCATCACCACCTCACCATCACCACACCACCACCACCATCACCACACACCTCACCACCTCACCATCACCACACCACCACACACCTCACCACCACCTCCACACCATCACCACACCACCACTCACCGTCCGGTCTATCTGGAGCTGGAGGAAGGGTCTGGGCCGCTTGTGGGGTCTCCGCTGCTGTAGTCAGTGGACAAGAAAGAGACATTAGAAGAGGCGCTATGTACAGGGTGAGGGGGATGGTGAGGGTGAGGAGGATTATGAGGGTGAGGAGGATTATGAGGGTGAGGAGGATTATGAGGGGGATGGTGAGGGTGAGGAGGATTATGAGGGGGATGGTGAGGGTGAGGAGGATTATGAGGGGGATGGTGAGGGTGAGGGTGAGGAGGATGGTGAGGGTGAGGAGGATGGTGAGGGGGATGGTGAGGGTGAGGAGGATTATGAGGGTGAGGAGGATGGTGAGGGGGATGGTGAGGGTGAGGAGGATTATGAGGGTGAGGAGGATTATGAGGGTGAGGAGGATTATGAGGGTGAGGAGGATTATGAGGGGGATGGTGAGGGTGAGGAGGATGGTGAGGGGGATGGTGAGGGTGAGGAGGATGGTGAGGGTGAGGAGGATGGTGAGGGGGATGGTGAGGGTGAGGAGGATTATGAGGGTGAGGGGGATGGTGAGGGTGAGGAGGATTATGAGGGTGAGGAGGATTATGAGGGTGAGGAGGATGGTGAGGGGGATGGTGAGGGTGAGGAGGATTATGAGGGTGAGGGGGATGGTGAGGGTGAGGAGGATTATGAGGGTGAGGAGGATTATGAGGGTGAGGAGGATGGTGAGGGTGAGGAGGATGGTGAGGGGGATGGTGAGGGTGAGGAGGATTATGAGGGTGAGGAGGATTATGAGGGTGAGGAGGATTATGAGGGTGAGGAGGATGGTGAGGAGGATTATGAGGGTGAGGAGGATTATGAGGGTGAGGAGGATGGTGAGGGTGAGGAGGATTATGAGGGTGAGGAGGATTATGAGGGTGAGGAGGATGGTGAGGGGATGGTGAGGGTGAGGAGGATGGTGAGGGGGATGGTGAGGGTGAGGAGGATGGTGAGGGGGATGGTGAGGGTGAGGAGGATGGTGAGGGGGATGGTGAGGGTGAGGGGGGGATGGTGATGGTAAGGGGGGTGGTGATGGTGAGGGGGGGGGTGATGGTGAGGGGGGGTGGTGGTGAGGGGGGGTGGTGATGGTGAGGGGGGGTGGTGAGGGGGTAAAAGGGTAGAGTGAGGGGGTAGAAGGGAAGAGTGAAGGGACACCAGAACAATGGTAGAGTTAGGATGCTTGAAGGGATATATATGTCGTACCTAGTAGCCAGAATGTACTTCTCGGCCTACTATGCAAGGCCCGATTTGCCTAATAGGCCGAGTGATTTTATTTGCAATAAATTGTTTCCAGTTGGTTTATTTTAAATATTTTTATTATATTAAGAACATAAATTATTGATTTAGTTATGTTAGTTTAGGTTAGGTTAGGCAGGTTGGGTAGGGTAGGTTAGGTCATATATCTCCGTTAGTTGTAACACAAATTTAAACAAATTAACTCATACATAATGAAATGGATACCTTTATCATTTCATAAGAAAAAAAAATAAAAATATTGAAATTCAGGCAAACTTGGCTTGTTAGGCAAATCGGGCTTTGCATAGTATGCCAAGAAATGCGTTCTGGCTACTAGGTATAACATTATTATATATATATATATATATATTACACATACAACAAAACAGTCAAGGCCACGGGCCAGCAATATACATATTTAGTATAAGCGAAGCAAAGCAATTTGATTACTATATACATATGAGACATCAGTGTCAAGTATGCAAGAAGCAACACCTAGGATATCTTATAAAATATACATATGTATAGATAAATATATACAATAAAATACACAAATTATGTATTCGAAAAAAATACATCTTCACACTATCAGAAGAAACCACTGAAAATCTAAGGTTATTAGGCCTAATTCAGGAAAAAATAATGAATTAAATCTTAACAACAAGATTAATTAATGACATTAATTTACGTTGAGGAAATTACAAATATGTAGTGTACCTAAATTCCCTAATGTACACGGGTCATGGGTCATGGGGCACAGGTCATGGGTCATGGGGCACAGGTCATGGGTCATGGGTCACAGGTCACGGGTCATGGGTCAAAGGTCACGGGTCACAGGTTAATATTATAGTGGACTTGACAACCATCACCCAAGACTACATCCTGGAATGTTGCACTTTGGCAGAGTAGTCTACCTTTGTTTTATATACCTGGAGAGACCTGAGACTACTACTCCTCAGTCCCGGCTCGAGGCAAGGCTTGACTTGTGATAACTTGACCCACCAGGCTGTTGCTTGCTGTGGCCAGCAGGTCCACTATAACACGACTGGTCAGACAATTCTATCGGGAACGCCTCCGATCGTCACTTGAATACTTCCACTTGTGTTCCGGCAATGTTTCTTATATTTGGTGGGTTGGTTGATGGGGCGTGGACCTCTCATGTCCATACAGTGTGTCTATCATGCCTCTTAACTGGGTTTATTCTGCATTTCCTACCATATCACTCTCTCCAGAATGTTAGTTTACTGCAAATTTGGAGTCTGGAGTCTTGTATGTTTTATATCTTCCATTATTTTATATCAATCTCGTCTCCTATCCAGAGAGTACATTTTGAGAGCTTAGAGACGGCCCCTAATAATTTAGGTGCTTTATCGTGTCATATATATATATAATATATATATATATATATATATATATATATATATATATATATATATATATATATATATATATATATATATATATATATATATATATATATATCGTATATGTTCTCTATTCCCTCTCCTTCACTAGTCTCTCTCTTGCTCTGAAAGTGGAAGCGGATACCGAGCAGTACTCAAGGCAGGACAGCAGCAGCAGTAGTAGTAGTAGAAGTAGTAGTAGTAGTAGTAGTAGTAGGTCCAGTAGTAGTATGGTCCCCATGAATGAACGTGTGTAGTGAATGACAGCTGCCACGTGGAGTCAGCCGCCCGCACTTGACCTCCTTAACAAACCCACTGATAAGCCAGCCCCATCCTCTCTAGTAGCCACAACAGGCGAAAAATGGTGTACTAGAACACACACACAAACCTAACTTAACCTATGGACCCACTCATAGAAAACGTGAATGTTTGCGAGCCGCTATGAATTATAGTATATAGTATTTTTTCCGTTGAGGGGGCGGGGGGGGGGGGGAGGGGTGCTGACGTCAAAATCAGCTGTAGTATTGGACAGGAGACGACGGATAAGAGATGCTGATAACACCTGACACTATCAGCAACACTAGCGGAACACAACAACATCAACCCGGGGTCTCAGTGGACGCAACACAATCTCCAACAGTAACATTGTGAACAGAAACAGACGTGCAATTTACAGCGTTAGCAATAACACTACGACAACAGTAAAGGCAGCAACAGGGAGTTACACGGGCAACAGCACCAGTAACAGCACTAGCAAAATGGATTCAATAGTAACAGTATTCAAATCCTTAAAATTTACATCAGCAGCAGCAGCAACAGCAGCAACAGCAGCAACAGCAGCAACAGTAGCAGCAGCAACAGTAGCAGCATAAACAACAGTAGTAATAACAGAAGTATCAGTAATATTAACATAACTAACACAAGTACTAACAGAAACAACACACATACTGGCGTTGTGACCCAAATACTTTAGTTAGGGTTCTCCCAGAGCAGCCAGACGCGGGAAATAATGGGACACTAATATATATCAAACTCTCCGAGAGCTTCAGCATTAATGAGACGCTCGAGGTAACTCCAGTGACCCAGCACGACTGGAACCCAATAGCCAGTCGTAGGTCCTGACAAGCTAAGACACAACGAGTTGTTTGAGTAAGGCCTGAGGGACTGCTACAGATGCGGGGTTGACTGGGAAGACTGGCTCAAGGATGGTTTTTCGAGCCAGTCTCAAGGAGCCTCGAGATCCGAACAGGCTGTTCGGATTCTAGAGGCTACGCCAAGCAGTCAATGAGCTCAACCCCTCTTAAAAATAACGTCACTTTTCGCTCGTATGCGCGCTATAGCCAAATTTGAAATGAAATCGACTCACAAAAGTGACGTACTGTTCCGTTTTCTGTTTGAGTCGTCGGGCTTACTCGGCAAGCTTAGAAGAGGAAACTTTCCATTAACGTTTTTCATATCATGCTATGGTGGCATGCCCGGACCTCGTCTCCCGTGTGTAGTGGGCTGAATCATGGTGTAACTCGCGTTGATATCGTGAGTAGCATGTGTGTACTGTTTTGTAGTAGACCAGTAATATGAGTCATGCTCATCTCCAGAGATTAGGATAGTGTGGAGGCTGGGATTGTATGGGGCAGCGTTTGTCAGTCAGTGTGCAGCGGTACACCTGTGTGTCACGAAGGGTACACACACGTAACACAACACAAGTAACAATCACTAACACAAGTAACACAATCATTAACAACAGGCATTCTGGGCAATAAAATGTTATAATCTACGAGCAAAGTTCACACAATATATGACAAGAAAAAAATTACATTTCAAAAGAGAAGTTAAATTAATAAAACCAGGCTGTAATTCATACGTCAGACTGCGAACAGCTGCGAGTAACAGCCTGGTTGACCAGACCACCCACCAGGAGGAGGCATTGCGAGACAGGGCCACTTGGACATTGATCCCAGGAACCATCACAAGGTACACACGAGGTATAGCAGCTAAAGGTGAGAAGAGTATTTCAAAATCAACTTCTTTATGTGACAATTTAGCCTGGTTGTGCCCTTACCTGTAAACTGCTCACTCCCAGTTATTATTCAGCTCCTCTTAACACGTCCCATTTCTATGGAATGGACCAATCCGTTAGAATTGTGCCGTATTAATCAAATTTAAATCACCGTATTATCGAAGGTTTTCCATGTATCGACCTCGACAGGTTAGGTGGGTTGCTTGGGTTCTTAAGATTTTGCTAAGGCAAAACAGTTGCATTTATAACCAAGTGGTCAATGGAGAGAGCACATGCAGTACTCACTGTATTTTTGATCAATATATAACTTAAAATCACCGTAAATCATACATGTTCCTTAATACTGAATTCACCTAACAATTTTTATTTTGCGTAATTTCACTCTTGCGTTCCTTTAAAGGTAAACAACAATTGTATCTCATTCATGGGCCTCAAAATCAGAGATAGTCGCATATCACTCTACGCATCTTGTATCAGCTGAGCGTAGATTTTGTAAACATGTGACGTCACGCCGCGCACGTGGACACCATGTGATCAGTCGCTCAAGTAAACAGTTAGTGTTGGTGTCACCTCCTGCTTGTTCCAGTGCTGACTGATGTGAGTTGTCACCCTCCTGTTCCTGCTCAAGCTCCTCCTCCACCTCCTGTTCCTGCTCAAGCTCCTCCTCCACCTCCTGTTCCTGCTCAAGCTCCTCCTCCACCTCCTGTTCCTGCTCAAGCTCCTCCTCCACCTCCTGTTCCTGCTCAAGCTCCTCCTCCACCTCCTGTTCAAGCCTCCCGTGTCCCACCTTTACTCCGACCTGTGAGTGACGTAGACAAAAACATGTACGTCAGGTCAACGTAGTCTCCAAGCGAGAGCACAGACCCAAGAGGTCAGAGGTCACATGAGCCGCACTCTCCATATTCCACCAGGTGTGCCTGGGAGCGAGCCAAGATGTATGTTAGGTAGGATAGGTCGTGAACTACGACAGGGAGTGAGCTGGGAACAGTGATCACAAGGATATCAGATTTAACATGGCAAGGAACAGTTGTGTAAGTGAAAACTGTTTGGGTGTCAGAGTTCCCAAAAGCTGCTTTTGAGAATTAAGGAGTTTCTTGGGAAGGATAGATTGAGCAGATCTAAACATGGGGACGAGGGCTGTGCTTGGGACGTGACGAGCGGTGACGTGACAAGAGTCAGGCACAGTGACGTGACAATGGATAACGGTGTAGATTCAAATTATGACATTCAAAAACCTTTTCAGTAAAGGTGAGGCCTGCAGCACACCACACACAGTGTAAGCCGGTGTTACGGACCCGGATCCAGCGTCCGAGCACGGAGCAGTGACGACCACGCCATCTGTGGGTCGGCTCCCGAAACCCCCTCCAAACGGACGACGACACCTGGTGAGGACGACGTGTACTGGCCACAAGGGCCAGTTTCCAGTCCTGTTCGGCTCACAACACAGCCGCCGCTGACCTCTGGTGAGGTGGTGCTCAGACAACAACGCCATCTATGGAGTAGATACGTCGGGCGTTTGTGTCTGAGCCTGTAAGTGAGGTGCTACTGTGAGTCCCTGTTATTGATGACGTGTCTGCTTACAGAGTCGACCTGGGACTGCTGTGATGGAAGTTGAGTCAGTCTACCCAAGGCAGCCGTCCCCATACCTTGTGCTTTGCTGCAGCAGCTGTGAGTCGTCTCCCGGATGAACACTGTGGTGTTACCCTGCCTGTGAAGCGGCAGTGAAGGATCGTCGTACCCGGGACCGACTGCTGGAGACGATTATCCACTGGGGTATTGAGGACAGGAGAGCGATTTGTGGTATCACACGAGGCTCCTGACTAGGGAGCTACCCTAGTATCGCTCGTGGAGTGGCCTGACCAGCGTTGCTGATCCGGAACCTGCCAGCAGACCTGCTGGACTTGTGGTTGACGGCCTCCACGGCGGTGCCCCCAGTGGAACTGTGTTTGGCTGGCCTGTGTTTTGGGTAGACTCAGCTTGGTCGAAAGATTCGTCAAGAGACCACGAAAGCACCGAGGACTTGGCACCGAGAGTTTGGATCCAGAGTCTTCAGAAGACAATTGTGTAAATAATTCCCTTGTGCAGTGTTAATACCCCTCCCCCTGTGTAATCTTATATTATTTATTGGTGATGGGAACAATTATAATCTTAAGTTCTTAACTTTATTTCCCTTCCCTCTTTAAGTTACTTGCGTCACGGATCTCATCCCTTGAAAGCCACTACTGGCTTGGGGCCGGATACAACTTCCTCTAACGACATCAGAGTACGAATCCAGTTGCGACCCGAGAGGGCCGTAACAGCCGGGTACCACACACAGTGTTGGCCGGGTACCCCACACAGTGTAGGCCAGGTACCACACACACACAGTGTAGGCCAGGTACCACACACAGTGTAGGCCGGGTATCACACACACACAGTGTAGGCCGGGTACCCCACACACACAGTGTAGGCCGGGTACCCCACACACACAGTGTAGGCCGGGTACCACACACAGTGTAGGCCGGGTACCACACACAGTGTAAGCCGGGTACCACACACAGTGTAGGCCGGGTACCACACACACCACAAGTGGACAAGAATGATACTAGAGAAGTATCATTTAGTATCATTAAGGCAGGTGTCTGGGAACTACCAGGACGCGGGTTCAAGCCGCCCCAGCTGCCTCAAAATGACTTTCATTGCTACATCCCGTCAGTGTGATCTCATCACCATACTAGACAACCTTATACATAGTAAAGAAAACCCGTGTTCAAAAGAACTAAGAACCGAGAAGTAAATATAGAACAGAAATTTGTCAGTCTATTTAGAAATGTTAAAGAAATTAGAATGGCCAAAAGAAGCTATGAAGTACACTATAGGAGGGTTACCTACCTACCTTGAAGGTTCTGGGGGTCAACGGCCCCGCGGCCCGGTCTCCGACCAGAGCAAGCAAAGATAAATCCTATTTTTTTTTCTTCAGTTATATCAAACAAAGATTTAGGAGACGATCACGGCATTGAAAACTGAGGCAGGTTACATAGCTGATAATGACAAAGAAATGGTTGATAGATTAAATAAGTATTTCGTCTCTGTAATTACTAATTATTATTATTACATACATACATTATATATATATATATATATATATGTCGTACCTAGTAGCCAGAACTCACTTCTCAGCCTACTATTCAAGGCCCGATTTGCCTAATAAGCCAAGTTTTCCTGAATTAATATATTTACTATAATTTTTTTCTTATGAAATGATAAAGCAACCCTTTTCTCTATGTATGAGGTCAATTTTTTTTTATTAGAGTTAAAATTAACGTAGATATATGACCGAACCTAACCAACCCTACCTAACCTAACCTAACCTATATTTATAGGTAAGGTTAGGTTAGGTAGCCAAAAAAAGCTAGGTTAGGTTAGGTTAGGTAGGTTAGGTAGACGAAAAAACATTAATTCATGAAAACTTGGCTTATTAGGCAAATCGGGCCTTGAATAGTAGGCTGAGAAGTGCGTTCTGGCTATTAGGTACGACATATATATATATATATATATATATATATATATATATATATATATATATATATATGCAGCTGAACAATTCTATGCAGGTGCTTAAAAAGAAGTTAATAAACAAATAGAACAATAAAGCCTAACAAGTCGCCGAGGGCCAGACGAAATACTTGCCAGGGTGCTGAAAGAATATAAAGAGAAGCTTCGTAAGCCCTTGTTTTGTAAAATGACTGAGTCAAGCAGAGTACTGGAGTCGTGGAGGGTAGCTAATGTGGTGCTCATTTTTCAGATAGATCACTAGTTTTTTCTTGAAGATGTCCACGGTTGTTCCGGCAATATTTCTTACCCTCGCTGGCAGCAACTCTGGGCAACGTGGAGGTGGTGAGGAGGACCTCCACGACCCCAACAATGCAAGACGACAGTTATATAAAGTAATTTATGTGGTAAAACTTACAAACCCCTCACAAACATGGTGGCACTAGCGAACACACACAGCTTGCCCACCTGTGACGTTGTGAGCCAGGCTGCCAGTACACCTGGTCCCGGCCAGGTGGGCTATCCACCTGGTGCCGTAAGTACCACTAAACTTCACACTGACACCAACATCCGTCACCTCCACCCCTTCCCGTCCATCTTCCCCCCCTCCACGCCCATACACCCCTCCCCACACCCCCAACTACCCATACACCCCTCCACACCCCCAACTACCCCCCCCCCCCAACACACACACACCTGAAAGGTGTAGCACTAGAGTGATGATGAACACTGACAGGAGACATTTATATATGGAACTAATAGAGCAAGAACCTGGCTATGTTATATTTTAGTGGCCCGGAGGGAGTCGAACCTGGCAGCTGTCCCGACACTCAGGTGTAGACCACACCATGTGTGTGTGTGTGTGTGTGTGTGTGTGTGTCAACACTGTAGACTATACCATGTGTCAACACTGTAGAATACACCGTATGTGTCAACACTGTGGAAGTGTAGAATACACCATGGGTGTGTGTGTGTTGACACACATGGTGTACCCCCCTCCCACTCGAGAACTGTTGCCTTAGTAACTATTTATAAAAGATGGTAATCATCTACTTATTTATATCATGTAAGAGACCACAGTTTCCCGGTGTGGTGACGGGTGCACTCCTGGGTGTGGCGGGGTGCACTCCTGGGTGTGGCGGGGTGCACTCCTGGGTGTGGCGGGGTGCACTCCTGGGTGTGGCGGGGTGCACTCCTGGGTGTGGCGGGGTGCACTCCTGGGTGTGGCGGGGTGCACTCCTGGGTGTGGCGGGGTGCACTCCTGGGTGCACCCCTGGGTGCACCCCTGGGGGTGGCGGGGTGCACCACTGGGGGTGGCGGGGTGCACCCCTGGGGGTGGCGGGGTGCACCCCTGGGGGTGGCGGGGTGCACCCCTGGGGGTGGCGGGGTGCACCCCTGGGGGTGGCGGGGTGCACCCCTGGGGGTGGCGGGGTGCACCCCTGGGGGTGGCGGGGTGCACCCCTGGGGGTGGCGGGGTGCACCCCTGGGGGTGGCGGGGTGCACCCCTGGTGGTGGCGGGGTGCACTCCTGGGGGTGGCGGGGTGCACCCCTGGGGGTGGCGGGGTGCACCCCTGGGGGTGGCGGGGTGCACCCCTGGGGGTGGCGGGGTGCACCCCTGGGGGTGGCGGGGTGCACCCCTGGGGGTGGCGGGGTGCACCCCTGGGGTGGCGGGGTGCACCCCTGGGGGTGGCGGGGTGCACTCCTGGGGGTGGCGGGGTGCACCCCTGGGGGTGGCGGGGTGCACTCCTGGGGGTGGCGGGGTGCACCCCTGGGGGTGGCGGGGTGCACCCCTGGGGGTGGCGGGGTGCACCCCTGGGGGTGGCGGGGTGCACCCCTGGGGGTGGCGGGGTGCACCCCTGGGGGTGGCGGGGTGCACCCCTGGGGGTGGCGGGGTGCACCCCTGGGGGTGGCGGGGTGCACCCCTGGTGGTGGCGGGGTGCACTCCTGGGTGCACCCCTGGGGGTGGCGGGGTGCACCCCTGGGGGTGGCGGGGTGCACCCCTGGGGGTGGCGGGGTGCACCCCTGGGGGTGGCGGGGTGCACTCCTGGGGGTGGCGGGGTGCACCCCTGGGGGTGGCGGGGTGCACCCCTGGGGGTGGCGGGGTGCACTCCTGGGGGTGGCGGGGTGCACCCCTGGGGGTGGCGGGGTGCACCCCTGGGGGTGGCGGGGTGCACCCCTGGGGGTGGCGGGGTGCACCCCTGGGGGTGGCGGGGTGCACCCCTGGGGGTGGCGGGGTGCACCCCTGGGGGTGGCGGGGTGCACCCCTGG